AGAGACAGAGTTTTGGCATATTGGTCAGGCTGGTCTCGAACTCTTGACCTCAGGTGATTGCAAAAAGCCGGGCGTCGTGGCTCAAGTCTGTAATCCCAACACTTTGGAAGGCCAAGGTGGGTGGATCACTTGAGGTCAGGAGTTCGAGACCAGCCTGGCCAACATGGTGAAACCCCGCCTCTACTAAAAATACAAAAATTAGCTGGGCGTGTGGCGGGAGCCTGTAGTCCCAGCTGTTCTGGAGACTGAAGCAGGAGAATCGCTTGAACTGGGGAGGCAGAGGTTGCAGTGAGCCAAGATCAAGTCAGTGCACTCCAGCCTGGGCAACAGAGACTCCGTTTCAAAACAAAACAAAAAACAAAACAAAACCGAAAGTGAAGTAGAGGTTCTTCTTCAAAGAGACGTTCCTCCCCATCTAATTAAAAAGAAATACCAACTTCTCCTAGAAGCAAAATTTATTCAAAGACCCGTGCTAATATTCTTAAATATCTGCTAGCTGTAATAAAGAAATCAATATACTTCGTGTTCTTAGCTCCCACAATTTAGCCTAAATATTTGCCCTGGCATGCTTATACTGGTCCAAGCAAGCATTAGGTTATAGCCTGTTCCTTTTCCTTATTTGGAGGTGTTTTTTTTTTACCTTTCTCAGCGTTCTGCAAGTTACTTCCTCCTTCCTTTGTTCTCCTCTGCCTTTGCCTCTTGAAAAGTTCTAAGTCGCTAGCCAATCGGGACAAATACAGAATGTGAGGTCCAATTCCAGTGAATGGAAACCAGACACAGCAGTAGGGTGGACGTGCCGGGTTATAAATGACCCTGTCTCTTTTGTTCGGTGTACTCTTGTGGCAAAACTGCTGGTGAGTGTACCCTTTCTGCAGAAAGTAAAAATGTCCTTGCTGAGAAAATTAAATCTATGTTCAAGTGCTATTTCTTTATGGCACTGGGGAACAAGCATTTCTAACATCCACCAGCCTCTGCCTCCCAAAGTGCTGGGATTACAGGTGTGAGCCATGGCACCCAGCCGTGCTGGCTCTTCTGTCTTTAAAACTGCTCTGCGGCTGGGCAAGGTGGCTCATGCCTGTAATCCCAGCACTTTGGGAGGCCAAGGCCAGTGAATCACTTGAGGTCAGGAATTCGAAACCAGCCTGACCAGTATGGCAAAACAGTCTCTACTAAAAATACAAAAATTAGCCAGGCGTGGTGGCCTGTAGCTCCCAGCTACTCAGGAGCCTGAGGCAGGAGAATCGCTTGAACCCTGGAGGTGGAGATTGCAATGAGCCGAGATCGCCCCACTGCCTGCACTCCAGCCTGGGTGACAGAGTGATACTCTGTTCAAAAAAAAAAAAGGCTCTGGGTGTTTCTGAAAGTATTCTCATTGATTGCCAGGCAGGAACAGGGTGTTCTAGATCCATCCTAATTTTTTTCCTGCCTCAAGGCGTGGACTCAACTGCTACTCAAGGAATCCTGTTTCTTTTTAGTGGAGTATTAAATATCTAGGTGCTGGAGATGTACATAAGAATTGTTGATGGGCAGCCGGAGGCAGTGGTTCACACCTGTAATCCCTGCACTTTCAGAAGCCGAGGTGGGTGGGTCATGAGGTCAGGAGTTCGAGACCACCCTGACCAACATGGTAAAACCCCGTCTCTACTAAAAATATGAAAATTAGCCAGGCATGGTGGTGCACACCTGTAATCCCAGCTACTTAGGATGCTGAGGCAGGAGAATTGCTTGAACCTGGGAGGCGGAGGTTGCAGTGAGCCGAGATTACACCACTGCACTCTAGCCTGATGATAAGGTGAGACTCTATCTCCAAAAAAAAAAAAAAAAAAAAAGAATTACTGATGGGCACAAGTGCTACTGTTGCTGCTACTACTATTAGACCATTTTTTGGTGACAAAGTCAAAGACTTCATTTAAGGTTACTAAATTCAAACTATTCAGACTGAGTATTTTCAGTATGACAAACTACAGTGTGCTTTTCTTACTCCAACATTGATGGTCCACATTTAACTGAAAATCAGACTGGGCCAGGCGTGGTGGCTCACGCCTGTAATCCCAGCATTGGGTGGCTGAGGCAGGCGGATCACTTGAGGTCAGGAATTCAAGACCAGCCTGGCCAATGTGATGAAACCGTGTCTCCACTAAAAATACAAAAATACAATACTCCACTAAAAATACAAATACAAATTAGCCACCAACAGTGGTTGGGCGTCTGTAATCCTGAGGCTGAGGCACGAGAATCGCTTGAAACCAGGAGGTGGATGTTGCAGTGAGCCGAGATCATGCCATTGCACTCAGACTGGTCTGGGCAACAGAGTGAGACCCTGGGTCAAAAAAAAAAAAAATCAAACTGGAGCTGTTTGTAAGAACCAGGAAGATATTCTTAGTCATGTGCGCTCAAACTTGCTTTTCACATTTTGGATTCTCCAAGACCTGAGTTTAGCTGGGGTTACCTCAGTTGCAGCAGAAACCTTCCATTTCCTCAACTCTTCCCGAAATAGCAAGACTTTATAGCTGTACTCCTTTTCCCTTGGTTATTCCTGTTTTTCAAGCAGAACCAGGTAATTTCCATGGTTAGGGCTTAAATATTGTATCACTGTTTGCTTCCCCCTTTCCTCCCCTTTTTCTTTCAGGCTTATACATTTGTTCTCCCAATAAACTCCTGCAAATTTTGACTTGAAAAGGCCCTCCATTGTTCAAATAAATCCTGCACAGTAAAGCAATTAAATTGTTTGCTTTCAGGCCATCCCACCGGGCTCTATTTTTCCTTCAGGTCAACATCTGATTGGGGCCTGGAGGTATTTTTTGTGGTTTCCCAAGGTACCATGAATGTCATGAGCATGTTTCCTCAGGGGATCTAGTAGTTCCTTTCTAGTCACTGGCATCTTTAACCATGACCAAAGGATGCTTTAAGTAACCATCTCAATCGTTGATACTCCTGCTCCTCTAGCATATCTTCAGAATTTCTGCAATCACTTTATAGGTAAATTTACATTTTTCACAATTAGATGCAATTTCTAGTGGATATTTGGGAGGTGGCAGATGGATTAAAGTCCCTTTCATCTCTAACTTGTCATGTATGTGGCTGGTTTGAGTGCACTTATTGACTAAATCTGTTTTCAGTTTTGAAAAACGATATGACTGGGTATGGGGGCTCACACCTGTAATCCCAGCACTTTGGGAGGCTGAGGCGGGTAGATCACCTGAGGTCAGAAGTTAACCCCATCTCTACTAAAAATACAAAAAATTAGCTGGGCATGGTGGCAGGCACCTGTACTCCCAGCTACTTGGGAGGCTAAGGCAGGAGAATCGCTTGAACCCGGGAGGCAGAGGTTGCAGTGAGCCCAGATTGCACCATTGCACTCCAGCCTTGGCGAGAGCGAGACTCTCGTCTCAAAAAAAAAAAAAAGGAAAAATAAAAAAGAAAAACGGCAAAAGGACATAGAACTTAGGAGTTCAGGTTTGTAGTCTAGTTCTGGTTTCACCAATAAGTGTGACCTTGGGTGCTTTCCTTCTCAAATAAGCTAAGAAAGGAAAAGGGAATTTCCCAGTTCCTCTGGCTGCAGCTTTCAGGTTTCTTGCAACAATAAACTAGACCCTGCTTAGCGTGTTCTTATGTTGAGAACTTAAAGTGTTTAAATAAAAAACTGGTTCAAATTTGGGTCTACCACTTAACAGCTCTGAGACTGTGGAAGTTAGACTTTTTTTTTTTCTTCGAGATGACTTAATTTTTTTTTTTTTTCTTTGAGATGGAGTCTCACTGTCACAGACTGGAGCGCAGTGGCGCGATCTCTGCTTACTGTAACCTCCGCCCCCTGGGTTCAAGCGATTCTCCTGCCTCAGCCTCCCAAGTAGCTGGAAATAGAAGCACCTGCCATATTTTTGTTTTTAGTAGAGATGGGGTTTTACCATCTTAGCGGGCAGACCTGGTGATCTACTCGCCTCCCTAAGTACTGGGCCCTCAGCCTCCGTAAGTACTGGGATTACAAGCATGAGCCACGGTGCCCGGCTGGCAGTTAGACTTTCAGAGTCTCAGTTTATATAAATGTAGCTCCCAAACGTAACAATGAGGGTTAAAATTACCTATCCTGATGTCTAATGCATAGCAAACACTTGGTTAATTTTTCCCCTCCTGTTATCTCTAGAGTCTCCTGTCATTCTCCCTGCTCTAATACGAACTAAGTCCAGGTGTTTCTTAGTCTTTACTGGTCTTCTAATAAACTAGTTGGACTCTTAAGATGTAAATTATCTCCCTAGATTTCTTTTACTCAAGTTTGCTTGCTTGCCACTTTTACAGCCCAAACTACATTCTAGACAAGATTTCTTCAGTTAACATGCCTTTTTTCAATCCCCTCTCATCTGCTGACCAATTCTGCCTTTTTAAAACATTTCTGTGGATACATAGCAGGTGTATTTATTTATGGGGTACAAGAGACGTGCTGATGTAGGCATGCAATGTGAAATAATCATATCATGGAGAAAGGGGTATTAGCCCCTCAAGCATTTGTCCTTTGTTACAATCCAATTACATTATTTTTGAACATACAATTGACTATAGTCATCCCGTTGTGCTATCAAATAGATCTTTTTTTTGTACCCCAAACACAAATTACCAAAGCCAAAGGTATTCTAGGTATAGGATTTCAAGTGACTCTTTCATGTGATGATGGACTTTTATTTTTCCCCTCTACTTCTGTCCAAGGTAAGGACAGCAGAAATATTTGCCTCAATGCCTTGCTTGCAGCAGCAGCCCAAAGGCCACGCTGAGGTGGAGTTCCTTCCAACCTCCCAGATTTTACAGCTCCAAGAGAGCTGTAAAATCCTTGCACAGGGGAAAATAGAAACTGTCTTTCCCCATTATCAATGGAATAATGTAGTTCAGTCTACAACAAAGAGAAACATGAAAATATCATAGGTAGGATGTTTTATACACATGCCAGTCTGCCCCTTCAACTGGCTTTCATTTTTCAGTATCTTCTAATCATGGAAAGGCTAACACAATTATTAACTTTAAACAAATTTTTATTACACAAAGGTTGTCACATAATTGGATATTTCTCTACTTTGTACACAATTATTCATTCTCACTCTCCACAGAAAGGCTGCTTAACTTCTCATCTGGTGGTGGCAAGCACTAAAATCCTGATTTTAACAGAATAGTAGTAAAAATGCCTCAGTGATTTAAGTTGAAAGCAGTACATTGGTACATGGCTCTTGTACCCGTTATCAGGAATGTACAAATGTTTTTTATTCAAAAATACAAAATAAATTATCTGTAGGCATGGACAATGACAGCAGTAAACCATTATATATTTTGTCAACTGAAACCAGTAACTGATGGTTATAGTGATTTTCAGCCAGCCTTTTTCTTCATTTTCTCCAACTGACTTCTCTGAAGTTATTGGTGAGGAACACTGCCTTGGGCTTCCTGTCACAGTTCATTAATAAAGGTAAAGCACTACTAGTCTAGGAGTTAGAACATGCCACCTCCCATACCACCTCCCATTCCACCCATTGCACCCATTCCAGGGTCCTTCTCTTCTTTAGGAATTTCTGTGACGACAACTTCTGCTGTAGTTAACAGAGAGGCCACACCAGCAGCATCCAATAAAGCAGTTCTCACAACCTAGAAAAAAGTTTAATTAAACATTAGTTTTCCCTTAGTAAAATATGAGCAAGACTTACTGAAAATTTCTGTCTGGGCATGGTGGCTCACCCCTGTAATCCCAACACTTTGGGAGGCCGAGGCAGGTAGATGAGGTTAGGAGTTCAAGACCAGCCTGGCCAACATGGTAAGACCCCATCTCTACTAAAAATACAAAAATTAGCCAGGCATGGTGGCGCATGCCTATAATTCCAGCTACTCAGGAGGCTGAGGCAGGAGAATCGCTTGAACCCAGGAGGTGGAGGTTGCTGTGAGCCGAGATCGTGCCATTGCACTCCAGCCTGGGCAACAAGAACAAAACTCTGTCTCAAAAATGAAACAAAACCCTGTTCTGGGTATTTTGGAAAGTATTCTTACTGGCCAGGCAGGAACAGGGTGTTTCAGATCCATCCTGATTTTTTCCTGCCTCCAGGCATGGACTCAACTGCTACTCAAGGAATCCCCCTTCCTTTTAGTGGAGTATTAAATATCTAGGTTCTGGAGACGTACATGAGAATTGTTGATGGGCACAAGTGCTACTGCTGTTGCTACTGCTATTAGACTATCTGGTGACCAAAGATTTGGGATGTGGGGATATTAACAAAATGAACAACAAAAGAATTTTTAGAAAGTGTTGAACTATTTACCTTTGTTGGATCAATAATTCCTTTTTCCACCATATTCACAAAATCTCCAGCCATAGCATCATAACCAACTTCTGAGGAACTCTGCATAATTTTCTCAACTATCAAAGATCCTTCAACACCTGCATTCTTAGCAATGGTCATTGCTGGAATTTTGAGTGTTCTTTTAATAATTTCTATACCTACAAAGAAATTTCAGCAAAATTTTAATACTTTCATTTGTAAATATTATAACACATTTATAATTTGTGAGGATATTGATGTAGGGAAATCCCAATCCTACTACAGGTCAAATAATTTCCTCTGAAAAAGATGTGATGCATGTTTAGCTCTGACATTAGCACTATTCTACTTCTGTTATTCAGGAAATGGATGTGCTATTCCATTTAGGGGACTGCAACATTATTATTCTAACAGAAACACTAAAATCAGGCCACAAACTCATTTAAAAGGTAACTTTTTACCAATTTTTTGATCTTCATTAGCTGGAGTCAATGAGTCCAAGGCTGGAATGCATCGAAGCAGGGCACAACCCCCTCCCAAAACAATGCCTTCTTCAACAGCAGCTCTTGTAGCATTAAGTGCATCTGTAACTCTGTCTTTCTTTTCATTCACTTCAACATCACTTGTCCCACCAACCTAAAGATGAAAGAATTCCAGTTAGTATGGCCTCTTCATTCAAGATGCTAATTGCCAAGTCATTTAAAAGCAGTTTACTTAAAAAGCAATCCTGGGGTGGGCATGGTAGCTCACACCTGTAATCCTAGCACTTTGGGAGGCTGAGGTGAGTGGATCACTTGAGGTCAGGAGTTTGAGACCAGCCTGGCCAACATGGTGAAACCCTGTCTCCACTAAAAATACAAAATTAGCCAGGCATGGTGGCGAGCACGTGTAATCCCAGCTACTCGGGAGGCTGAGGCAGGAGGTTTGCTTGAACCCAGGAGGCGGAAGTTGCAGCGAGCCAAGATTGCACCACTGCATCCCAGCCTAGGTGACGGAGGGCTTAAAACAAAACAAGGCCGGGCGCGGTGGCTCAAGCCTGTAATCCCAGCACTTTGGGAGGCCGAGACGAGCGGATCATGAGGTCAGGAGATCGAGACCATCCTGGCTAACACGGTGAAACCCCATCTCTACTAAAAAAAATTACAAAAAAACTAGCCAGGCGTGGTGGCGGGCGCCTGTAGTCCCAGCTATTCAGGAGGCTGAGGCAGGAGAATGGCGTAAACCCGGGAGGCGGAGCTTGCAGTGAGCTGAGATCCAGCCACTGCACTCCAGCCTGAGTGACAGAGCGAGACTCTGTCTCAAAAAAAAAAAAAAAAAAAACAACAAAAAAACCCCACAAAACAAAACAAAATTCCACTATTAATTCCTCAAATATTTGTTTAGTTCCATGGTACTACTGGGGAATACTACAGAAGGACAATCATTCTTGGACTCAGAACCCAAAAAACTTATTCATAATAATGAACCTTACCTTCAGCACAGCTACTCCATCTGAAAGTTTTGCCAGCCGTTCATTCAGTTTTTCCTTTTCATATTCACTAGTTGTGACATCTAACTGCTCAATGATTTCTTGAATACGTTTTTCAATTTCAACCTTGTCACCTTTTCCTTTTAAGAGCATGGCATCGTCTTTGGTCACAATGACCTCTCCAACTTTTCCTAGGTCATGAGGCTGAACGTCTTCAACATTTATGGTCAACCCCTCCTCTCCAAACACCTACAAAATGAGTTAAACGTAAACCAGCTGTAGGTTACAGTTTCTACCATTATACCAAGTTTATTAATATACCATGCAAGAGAATCATCTTGAAATACTTTCTTTGAAATGAGAGACTGTAAGATCACTGTTAGTCCAGAACAAGACTTGAGTATAGTCTTCCATTGCATTTCCAACTTCTCAATTCTCCCAACTCTGGTAATTATTATTAGCCTTACTTGAGAAAAAAAAATCCAAGGTCACACTTACTGGTAGAGCCAGGACAAGACCATAGGCCTTGACTCTCAAGTCCTACATCATTTGTAGCACACACTTTTATCTTTCAAAACTGAAAACAGATCCCAGGACTTTGGGAGGCAGAGGCAGGCATATTGCTTGAGTCCAGGAGTTTGAGAAGCCTAGGCAACATAGTGAGACCCACCATTACTAAAAGTAAAAAAATTAGCTGGGCATGGTACTGCACCTGTAGTCCCAGCTACTTGGGAGGCTGAGACAGGAGGATTGCTTGAACCCGGGAGGCGCAGGTTGCAGTGAGCCAAGATTGTGCCACTGCATTCCAGCCTAGGTGACAGATCAAGACACCCTGTCTCAAAAAAAAAAAAGGAAACTCCACAGATTTAGTCAATAAGAATAGTCAAGACAGATCAAGACACCCTGTCTCCAAAAAAAAAAAAAGGAAACCCCTTATTCAGTCAATAAGATTTAGTGAATATAGAATAGTCAATAAGCCCATTCTTAGGCCAGACTCGTGGTCTCGTGGCTAATTAAAGGGAATTTAATCCAACCCCTACCTTCCAAAGAGCCAACAGAAACAGATAGCTGTAGCATCTAATTGTGAAAAATGTTAAACTATCTATAAATTTCAGACAAGTATAAACATTCAGCAAACCATTATCGCATTTATTTTACTTACTGCACCACCAGTAGCAATAGCCATATCTTTAAGCTGGTTCTTTCTATTGTCACCAAACCCTGGAGCCTTGACTGCCACAACCTGAAGACCAACCTTTAGCCTGTTAAGAATAGTTGATAGTAAGATTTAAATGAAATAAAAATGCCTCTGTTTAAATTCCCCTCAAGCTCTGTTACTACTTAGATTACTTAGGACTCCCTAAGTAATCTGGTTTGGTTTTTGCTTTTTTTTTTTTTTTTGGCTTCCTAGCAATTTTTGATCAAATTAAGACAGGAAAGATGTGAGACAGTTAAGGCTATTTTCTATTAATCTATACTTGTTCATATCTGTTTATCTTCTTAATAAACTGTTGGCCTTGCTGGGCGTGGTGGCTCACGAGATCAGGAATTCGAGACCAGCCTGGCCAAGATGGTGAAACCCCGTCTCTACTAAAAATACAAACATCAGCTAAATGTGGTAGCAGGCACCTGTAATCCCCACTACTCGGGAGGCTGAGCTGCAAAAATCACATCACAATAAGTTATAGGATACAGTGATAACTATTATGAATGGTAGAAAAATAATTACTAAATATTACATTTGAGGGTCATTTAATAAACATCTACTCCATAGATTGTATTAATGCTGAGTTTTGAATGAGCAATGTTCTGAATTCACTTCTTTTATAAATGTTATACAAAAAGCTGACAGTATTGTTAAGCTCACCTGAAATTTTTGCCAGGTAAATGAATACTTAGAATGTGCAATCAAATGTCCATTTGAGAACAGATTGTGAAACAGAAGGAATGTTCAAACTTCAAGACAGCTGGTCTATTTTATTAAGGACCCAAATAAAAATTAGAGGAATAAGCTATATGCTATGTAAACTGGATATCCCAGTTTTCAACTAGCAGTTAAATGGCCTAATGAAAACTCCGTAGACTTGTTTTTTTCTGGCCTCAAGTCTTCAAGTCTTTTTTTTTTTTTTTTTTGGAGACAGAGTCTTGCTCTGTCTGCCCAGGCTGGAGTGCAGTGGTGAGATCTCCGCTCACTGCAAGTTCTGCCTCCCAGGTTTACGCCATTCTCCTGCCTCAGCCTCCCGAGTAGCTGGGACTACAGGTGCCTGCCACCACGCTCAGCTAATTTTTTTTTGTATTTTTACTAGAGATGGGATTTCACTATGTTAGCCAGGATGGTCTCCATCTCCTGACCTCATGTTCCACCTGCCTCAGCCTCCCAAAGTGCTGAGATTACAGGCATGAATCACCGCTCCTGGCCAGGTCTTTTCTTAATCCCTCCAAAAAAGCAAATCCAAGCTAAGAAAAACGTTCCAGGGTAAGGCAGCTCATTAGAGCTTTTGGGTCACATCAACACATGTAATGTCTAAAACATACCTCCTAATTTGTGCATTTCTACTATAATGAAATGGAAAGAAAAGTCTTGCTTCTGACATACTCCAATTCTCAGATAAGGAAGAACAAACATTTTAATAATGCCCTTAGAATTAAAAGATCAGCCAAGTGTGCTTGTGCAAGTGTGTAGTCCCAGCTACTTGGGAGGCTGAGGCAGGAGGATTGCTTGACACCAAGAGTTCAAGGCTTCTGTGAGCTATGATCATGCCACAGCAGCCCAGCCTGGGTGACAGAGTCTGTCTCTCAAAATAAATAAAAAATATTCGATGGTGAAATACACTTACATCTCATTTATTTAGAGACAGAGTCTCACTTTGTTGCCCAGGCTGGAGTGCAGTGGCACAATCTCGGAACACTGCAACTTCTGCCTCCTGGATTCAAGCGATTCTCCTGCCTCAGCCTCTGAGTAGTCAGGATTACAGGTGTGCACCGCCAAGCTCTGCTAATTTTTATATTTTTAGTAGATATGGGGTTTCACTACGTTGGCCAGGTTGGTCTCGAACTCCTGATCTCAGGTGATCCACCTGCCTGTGCCTCCCCAAGTGCTGGGATTATAGATGTGAGCCACTGTGCCTGGCCCATTTGAGTTATTTGGAATGTTAGTTGTTTACTTCCCTGTTCTATGCAAAATAATATTCTGAAAATATACATATTTTTAACCAGAAAAACCTTTTTTTTAAAAAAAAAGATTCACACTTGAACCCAGGAGGCTTGAGCCAAGATGGAGCCACTGCACTCCAGCCTGGGAGGCAGACTGAGACTCTGTCTCCAAAAAAAAAAAAAAAAAAATTACAAGCCGGGAGCGGTGGCTCACACCTGTAATTCCCAGCACTTTGGAAGGCTAAGGCGGGCAGATCACGGGTCAGGAGTTTGAGACCAGCCTGGTCAATATGGTGAAACCCTGTCTCTACTAAAAATACAAAAATTAGTCAGGTGTGGTGGCACATGCCTGTAGTCCCAGCTGCTCGGGAGGCTGAGGCAGAAGAATTGCTTGAACCCAGGAGATGGAGATTGTAGTGAGCCACGATTATGCCACTACACTCTAGCCTGGGCCATGGAGTGAGACTCCATCTCAAAAAAAAAAAAAAAAAATTTACAAGATCCAGTCATGTACCTTCAAAACAACTGTAAACACTTGCAAAATATAGAAAGGTACCAATGTGCTAAATCAGTCTGTTCTACGTGACAACTGGGCAAAATAGTAAAGAATTTGGGGTCCCTTTCAAAAACAGAACCATAAGGATACATAGAGCACACCTGATTTACACAATGACAATTCTAGATACAAACACAACTGGATCAAATGTGGAGGTACACATGATGGAGACTGCGAATAGAAATAGAAATAATTCTGTCTTTGACCCAGAAATATAAATCATCAAATACCACTGCCTATTACCTATTCAAGACGAGTGTACTTAGAGCTTCTCCATCAACGTCTTCAGCGATTATGACCAAAGGCTTACGGTGAGCATTGGCAATTTCAAGAGCAGGTACAATGGACTGGACACTAGAAATTTTCTTTTCACTCAGCAGAACATAGGCATCCTGGAATTCACATTTCTGACCTGTAAAAATAATGAAGATTTCAAAAATATACAAAAAATAACTGCAATGTATTTAAGTGAAAAGCTAAACCAAGGTTCCAATACATTTTAAAATTGATCAGTGAGTTTGTTTTCCTCCTTCATGTCTAATATGCATTAACTTTTGGAATATACACATTTATTTTTTAGAGTATGACACCAACACCAACTAATACCTATAGTTTGACACACATTAGGAAAGTGTATTTTAAACATTTCAGGAGGCCAAAGCAGGCAGATGACTTGAGGCCAAGCGTTCAAAACCAGCCTGGTCAACATGGCTAAACCCTGTCTCTATTAAAAATACAAAAATTAGCCAGGCATGGTACTTCATAAGATCCGGCCACTGCACTCCAGCCTGGGCGACAGAGCGAGACTCCGTCTCAAAAAAAAAAACAAAAACAAAACTATTCTTGTAACAAAAAGTTAAAAATGCTGACTTCATTACAAACTGACAAAATTTATGCACCTTTGACAATGGCTAAGAACATTTTCACAACATACAAATCCATTTTACAGCCATGGTAGAACTAAAATGACAGCCACATGGCCGGGCGCGGTGGCTCAAGCCTGTAATCCCCAGCACTTTGGGAGGCCAAGG